TTTTTCAAGACTTAGACGATTCATAGACTAAGATTTCGCATTAAAAATATTTGAAAGCCTGTCTTTACTAATTTATTATGACTTGTCTCTACGTGTACGAAATTTGAACGAATGAATGCGGATTTTCGACGATAAACTATCTTTTTCTCTTTTACAACGCAGCGATTTCATCGCCAACACTCGTTACGCAATACCTGACGGTGGCGTGCAGTTTTTACGCCAAGGAAAGTGCCAGCGGCTGCGACTTCGAGAACGTGATCGAGGATGTGAAGGAGTACGCCGAAAACCTGGCAACACCTCCCAGCTTTCCCAATTGGGATGGTAATCAGGTCGAGACATATCTGGACATGGCTGAAAGAGGCAACGTCTTCTGCACGGTCCAGGGAGGAGCCATCAGGAGCGCATGCGCAGCCATGGAGGCAGTTTGCGGCCCTTCAAAGGTCAACCTCGTTCGGTGCCAAGGTATGTAAGGATGACGTTTGATGACGTCACAATTAGAAAATCGAAGTTTGGACCAATTACCAATTGGACCCTTATCTTATTTCCCCTTAGGTATTTTTTCTTAGGATAATCGGGCAATTTAAAGAAGTATTCTTCTTCTTTGAGTAATTTTCTAGGGGATTTTTTAAAAAGGATTACAAATAAAAATAATGAGGATGATACTATACTACTACTACTACTACTACTACTACTACTACAACAACAACTTCTACAACTACTACTTATACTACTATTAATTCTACTAGTACTTATTATAATGATAACAATAAGAAGAGGAAGAAGAAGAAGAAAAAAATACAAATATAATGAAAATTATGATGATGGCAATAATAATAGTAATAATAATAATAATAACAACAATAATAATAATGTTTTAAATTTAAATTTGTTTCATTGCAGATGTGACACCAGCTCCACCTCCAACCAATCCTGCATCTAATACCACCATGTCTTTCCCGACCAACCAACCTCCTATGACTGCCTAAACATCTTCGCTTCTTAATTATCAAATTTATACCAAGTCTCCAGCTAAAAGGATTTTAATTTTTGTTTTGATAACCAAACCTTATTGTCCGCTTATTCTTAAATATTTCAATTCGACTTATTCAATTTAAACCATCAATGAATAACAAAATAGCGGCTTGTGGAGAAAATAATGTTAAGAATTGAAAATATCTTTATAATTCATATTTCACACAATCACACTTCATATTTCTTGTCGTTACTTTAAAAAAAAAAACTCGCTAATTATGTTCATTTTGTCGCAACCATGATTTAATCGTAGCTCTTCTTTGCATAGATATTCTGTTTAACAAATCCTTGTCCTTTCAAATGTAATCCTGGTGCGCTAAGTACATGCACTTCCCAACTCTGTCTATCCAGACTCAAGAAGGTTCTTTGATATTCATATGTATAAATTGCTGACAGATTTTCTTATTTGTAATAAAAAAAAATACTAATTTGTGAATTATTAGTTATTTGCCATCATGTTATATTGTGTTGCTTAAATTTGTATCGAACAAGTGGGGACATCAGTGATGAGAAAGACAGATAGGAGAAAAAGAAGAAGAGAGAGAGATAAAGAGAGACAGGGAGAAGAAGAGGGGAGAGAGACAGAGACAGAGACAGCTGCTGATTTAGTCTAGAACCAGGAAAGGAAACAAACAAACAGACAAGGAAAAATAAGAAGAAAGAAAAAGGATATTTACAAAAAGTCGGTTGGACACGCATTTATGAATTTATGATATCAACCAGTCTGCGCCGATTAAAGAAAATCTGGCGCGGATTCATTTATAATCCGGGGCCTCAGTATTGTTTTATCGGTCGGATTATAACAATATGTCATCGAGAGAACTTCTATTAAAAGTATTACTCATTGTATTGACTAAAGAGAAGAATGAGTTCTTGTAAAGATTGAAAAAATTTAATTTGTGAGATTTCTCAGTCTTTTTGTTAATTAGGAAGAAAATCATAAAATAAGTATCTGCTGCAAGAGATTGCTCTTCAAATGCCACATATTCGAAATGATGGGGGGAAATAGCTGACAAGTTTGAACCAAACTTTCTCGTGTAGTCCGAAATACTGATTTATGTGTACGGTGCGTGTGACTTAATACTCGATTTCTTATGAGTTTCTTTATTCCAAAGCATCACAATATACATCATTTCTTATGCATCACAATATCAACCTCCCATATTGCTCCCAGACAATCTCTTTCAAAATTAAATCGGTTGGCAAGAACTCAACTTTATTTTTAATGGAAAGAGTGGGATTAGGGCTGTGAAGGTGGCGACAAAAAAAATGATGGCTTGTTCGTTGAAAGATTATCATAATAGTTTTCCTCACATTCGAACAAAATGATTGAGGGAAGTGAGGGAACGAGGGGGGAAATGAACAATGAAGAATGCCTGCCTATGATGTGGAGCGTGGGGGGGGGGGGGGGGGGGTGGGGGTAGCGAGGAGCCGAGTGTGGCAGAGCGACAATGAGAGAATGGGTGAAGAAGGGAGCCGGAAAGGGATATTATGTCGATTCCGAAGCAACTAATTTCGTTTCGATTTGATTTTTCCTTTTCACTTTCTTTTCTGTTGTTAGTAGATCTGAAATAAAACTGATTCACTGAAACTTCCGAGCTTAACTTTTAATCAAAATTCAATGATTCAACTTCAATAATTCTACTTCAATTGTAGTCCCTTTGCCCAGCCTTGTAGACCACCGCTTGCTACACTACTTGTGGATTGAAATCGTAGTATAAATATAAGTTGTGATTATGTTTGAAATGTTACGTGACTTGACAACTATAAAACAAAATAAATAATAAGCTCTTTTCCTACAACTTTGTGCAATTCAAATACTCTTTCCCCCCCTCTGAAATAAAAAAAAACAAAGTTAACAAAATTCCGACCAAAGTTATCTTAAACATGTAAAAGGTAATCCCATGTACAATTTTAAGCCTGAAATAAGCAAAATAACTGGCATGAATAGCTCTACAGATCGAATTAAAGCCCGTCTGCACTACTTGTAGCTACTTGCGCCCTCTATATATAGCCAACAATGCCTAAATGGTGACCGTTGATCCCCTATGGTCCTCTTTTTCTTATGATAATTGATGATATAACCACCTGCCAGTGACCACACAGTGAGGTATAGTCCCTCCTGGCCAAACTATAGTGCAGACTGGCTTTAAGATAAGCCATTTAGATAAGAATGGTGCATTGGTTATGAGACTCTGATTACTTATTATGTCAGAGTAATTTCAACCGATACATTATTATCAAATTCGGCAAGTGTATTCCTTGCCATCACCTGGGGGGCGTTTCACAAAACTTGTCACCAGTGACAAATGACAGATTTTGTTATAAGCTACTGAAATCCTTGCTTCTGACTGGTTATCAGCAGATTTGTCACTGATTTTTGTCATTTGTCATTGAAAAAAGGCTTTGTGAAACAGGTCCCAGGTTGATTGTTTGAAAAAAGGAAATAAGGCCTCCCATGTATGTCATATGAATACAACTTTTGTTAATATGTCTTGATTGAAACAGCACCAGCTTAAATACAAATCCCATATTTCAAACGCCCTTATTAGTTCGATATCAAAGCAAATACGAATACAAAGAAACAAAGAAAGAGATTTACATCAAACATACAAAAATGGAGTGACGTTGAGGACTGAGGTGCCTCAAATGTAACATGAGCTCCTGCTATGGTTGCTAAATGTGAAAGTCCTCCCATGTATATCCTTGAATTAAGTATAAAAAGGGGGAAAGCAAAATTTGATTGAAGCAGCAGGAGAAAGCAAATCCCATATTTCAAACGCCCATTTAAGCTTTGATTAATGATGACAATAATAGCAGAATCTTGTATAGCGTTCATGCCTGGCACATTACCACTCCTGATTTTATTGAATTGCTTCATTATTATAATCCTGTTTATTGCTGTTTCCTGCCGTTTCTTGCTAATGTAAAACTTAATGCAAATGCGAATACAAAGAAACAAATATCAAGATTTACACCCAAGGAGGGGGGGGGGGGGGGGTGAAGGGAGGAACGCTCAGCTTGAGGGTACCTATGATATAGCATGAATTCCCGCTACAATGGTTGGATAATTGTTTAATTAGTCCTGATACGTTTAATTAGTTCTAAACGTAAAAATATCCTAACTGCGATCATTGTCCTAATCTCAATAAACAGGTAAATGAAATAAAACAATGGGGAAAGAAAATGTGTGCAAATCCCCATTTCCAAAGTGAGTCCAAAATCAAAGCAAGTGCAAGCAACAAAAAAAGATATTTACAAACACACGCATAGCACTGGCAATACCTCTAACATAGAATGAATTCCGTTATGAAAAAGAATTGTCAAACGCTTTTACTTCGGGCTAATTCTAAATCACCTAGCTGACCTTTTAATTGAGCCATTTTCTTAATCTCAATATTTTGTTAACAGTAAAATAAAATTATAATAATAATAATAATAATCCGGTTTTTTATATAGCGCTCAATACACCGATCCAACGATGTACCTAAGCGCTTTACAGATATATTATTACCCCGGTCATCGGATTCAGGCTTACCCGCACACAATATGTGCACATTTTCCACTCCCTGGGGAGCATTCCAGCCAGTCGCCATTTTACAGGCGCACACTTGCAACAAGAAAATATATGCAAATCCTGTATTTCAAATGCCCATATCTAAGCTGAAAATCAAAGCAAATGAGAATACAAAGAAACAATTACATAGCGACGTCACTCTCTGACGAAAAGATTCGTACGCTTAGCAATGAGGATGCCCCTGACAAGTACAGCGTGAAATCCCTCCTCATGAATGGACAACTGCCAAATCCCTTGACTTCGGTCTGTCTAGTTTTAAACTCTCTGTCCTCATAGGGAACATTGTCTTAATCTCGGTGAACAGTCGCTGGCATTGGATATGCATTTCTCTTTCTTTCACCTTCTAGAATTAAAAAAAATGAAGCATTGTATATTTCAAAGACAAATATCTTGATAAGAGTATAAATAAGAGCAGGTTGATCATTAGTGATCATTCGAGTCCAGAAGCTAACAAAAGTGGAACAACTTGAGAAGTCATCAGAGAAATTGTAGGAAACTAGCTTATCTAAAATGGCTACAACTGTAAGTAAAATATAATTTATTCATTAATGATTTATCATTAAGCATTGCTGTGAATTATTTTTCAAACAAAGTTAATCTGAAGTCTAGTAAGTCTTTTTTAATAGCTGCATTCTTTCCGAAAATTTCTCTAGTTAAACTTGTTTTAATTTCTGGTTTAGTTACGTCGTGGTATTTCATGACATTTGTCATGTTGCCCATACCCTGAATTTAACCTTTAGAGAACATACTTTCGAAACAAAAATGAAGATCTTACATTCTGATAATCTAAGAATTGAATAATAATGATAAATAATGGTCAGTAGTTTGTAGCAAAGTCGCTCTTGTCAAACTCTTCCGGATCAAATATAGCAAGTATGATAAACCGTTTCCTCTCTATTTTTTTCCAGATGAAACTTACCGTTGCCTTATGCCTGATTGCTGTATCATACTTCACCTTCTCAGAAGCATTCCGTAAGTTGTCATCATTAATCAACAAATGGACAAGTATCAATGATTGTTGACAGTAACTTAATTAAGTACAGCTACTGTAAGAAAAAAAAAGACTATTCTTTGAGACTTCCTTGATTTTCAAACGTAGGAATGGGAGGACGAGTAAATTTCACTTTTTAATAAAATTTCAAATTTTTGTTCCATTTGCCAATGTGATTCAATCTGACGCTTTAGAAATACGTAATATGCTACACTGAGTTTACCAATTATTTGTGCATATCAGCGCCCGTGGCAAACCATGCAGAGATTGTGCCAATTGGCTAATGGGCATGTAAAAGGTTTACATTGTAAAAACAAAAGTAAGTTATTAGATCTGTCGGGGATGTGGGAGGGGATTTTCTGTAGTAGTGGTTCATTTACTTGACTCTCAACCCAAGGGTTGAGGGTTCGAATCCTAGCCTGGCACTGCTGGGGTACTACAAATTGCAGGATCCTCAGAAAGAACAACATGATGCTGGTGAGGTTTCCTTCGGTAAACAAATTTATCATTATCATTATTAATATTATTATCATTATTAATATTATTATCATTATTACTATTATTATCATTATTATTATCATTAATATAATCATCTTTACTCTCTTTTTTTTGTTATAGCACGACAAAGCATCAACGATCACCTGATCAAGTCTTGCCTCGGATACAAAGAGAAGAAGAGAGGAGAGGGCCATCGTTGTAACCCCGAGGTCCTCGATCACGTGCACGACTTCGCCGAGGGGGTGCAAAGGGCGGGGCCTGGGTACAACGGCGACCTGGTGGAGAAGTTCCTCAAACAGGCCGACAACAACCAACTCTGTTACCTGGAAGGATCCGAGCTACGCAAAGTCGTCGGGGGCTGTGCCGCCATGGAGCTCGTGTGCGATGCCTTTACTCCAAGGGTCGTCGATGAGTGCTCAAGTGAGTAATTAGCATAAGTTTTGATTTTAGTCCTCACGAGAGATGTACATTTCAGGGGGCATAGCAACGGGTACGGGGAGAGAGAGAGAGAGAGGGGGGGGGGGGGGGCAAGGGTGCGTACGTATCCCAGAATGGAATCGTGGTGTAACATACTGTTTGAGATTTGAGTGACAAAATTGCAAAAACAATCTCCAGCGCAATTCTGCTACAAATGTTCTACTAGTGTACAAATATTCCAATGCTGGAAAGTGCAACTGCCATCATGATTATGAAAACAACAAAAAAACCTTGATCAAAATCATGATGGCAGTTGCACTGTCCAGCATTGGAAAATTTGAACCAATTGATGACTGATTTGCACTAATCGATGACCCATACGGCATTCATGTATATCCAACTTGCGACAGAATTCCGTTGGAACTCATTCCCGTCCTTTTGGAAATATCTTAACATTCTACATACCTTTCCTCAATTCATTTTACAGCCCTACGGAATGCAATTCCTCCCCCAACTCTGCCAACAACAACACAGCGCCCCCAAACCGCTGCACCCACGGCAGGTATGCCAGCTCCCAGGGTCTAGACCAACATCCTCATCATTTCAACCAGTCATCTTATCACCATGGTTACGGTAATTGATGAAAATGCCCTGTGGGCACCACACCAGCAACAACACAAGGTCCAACCAGTGGAACTACTACAGCAGCTTTACCACTTACCACTATCTAGGCCAACACTCTGTTCACCATTTAAAACTCTAACGTCCAACCAGTCATCGCCCATCTCATCACCATGGTAACAGCGGTCGATTAGTACTCACATTCAGAAGAATAGAACTTATTGATCAATATCTCTCTTACTAGTGGTCGGAAGTTACTAATTAATTCCCTGAACGTAGGGTTTGAGTCTTAATATTGAGAAACAAGATTGTGATTTGTATGTATATATTGTTTTCTTTTGCTAATTTTTGGTTATTCACAGATGAATAAAAATGTTTAAGAAAAAAAAATATTCAAACGTATTTAAAGGTTGATTACTTTTACTGTATTTGAGCTGTGATGATAACAAATAATGTATAATTTGCAAGGAAAGACTATACAACTTAGTGATTGATAATTGTAAGTTATGATGAATATATAGAGAGACAGATAAAGAAAGAAAAAAGGATAACATCCGATTACGAGCAAGAGAGACAGAGAGAGAGAGAGAGAGAGAGAAAGAGAGAGAGAGAAAAAGAGAGAGAGAGAGAGAGAGGTGGAGAGAGAAAGTGAGAGAGGGAGAGAGTAAGAGAAAAACAGAGAGAGAAAGTGAGATAGAGAGATTAAGAGAGGGAAATAGAGAGATTGTTTGGTGAGAGAGAAGACAGTGCGGAAGAGAGAGAGAGAGAAAAGAGAGAGAAAGAAAGCGAGATAGAGAGAGAGAAAGAGAGAGAGAGAGAGAGAGAAAGAAAAAAAAGAGAGAGAGAAGGAAAATAAAAATACAAACAGGGAACAGACAGACAGAAACAGAACAAAATGATTGATACAGAGAGAAAAAAAAACAGTTTTAAAAAGAATGGCAAAGAAGGATAGTATTATTCAGTTACTATAAAGAGTCATTCTGTTTAAGTACTGGGTGAGCAAAAAAAAAAGTCCGCGATATTTCGCGAGCAAAACAGACAAAAGTATCATAGATGATTTAATTAAAACATTACATTCATGCACAGTCCAAGAATAGTGACATACAACTTTGACAATCACTCTATAAAAAATGATCTTTTACTTGGATATAACTGGATATAATCAATACTATTCTTGAGCCGTGTCTAGGTATACCCTTAGCATTATGTTTAATTAATTAGAATGACCGATATACATGTGTATATGCTATAATCATATCGAAAACAGATGCAGTTTGGAAAACTCTAAAATCTCTACAGGTTTTTGCACCTTATCTATTTGATGGAATTCAAGGCAAAATAAAAAAAAGTGAATTACTGAATTGAGTAAAATAACTCCAATATATTAAATGCCTTATTTTTTTTTTACACATTCCATTTCTGTGGAATGTATCGATTTCACATATTTCAAATGTAACTGTTTCCTCACAATTTTGTATAACTATTTATTTATCGTCTCCAGATAGTTCTAAAAATTAATTTCTCAAAATATTGCCGATATTAATGAGGCGAAAAAAACCAAAAGGACACCAACGGAAATATTATTAAAACACAGTTGACGAATAATCCTATTATATTTTTGTATTTATAATACAAATTGTGACGAACATGATACTACAGGATAATTCCGAATAATTTCAATAAATGAATAAAGACTAAATCAAAACCGTATAGGCCTATACCCAAAAAACTAAAACAAACAAACAAACAAAAACAAAAGAATATGAATTGGCCATTTTGTTTTGGATTAATAGTTTTTTAATTTGAGTTTCCTTTGACAATGAGGCAATATTTCAGATTATATAACTCACTTAAGAAATCCAGCCATCTGATTGGTCGAAATTGCATTCATAAACTTCAACTATTTCTGTAAAATTCCCAGTAACCATGGTTAAAACGGTTCTATAATCCCAGTAACCATGGTTATTGGGAAAATAGTTCAGTCTCCATGGTTACCCCATAGGTTTACATGTTAAAAAAATGGTCTGAGCGATCGAGGATACCGTACGTGTGCGAAGAATTGGTCGGTAATTTCAATACAATTGAATCTCGATCGATCTTACCGACAATTTTATCTTGCATTGTTGACATGAAGACGAAAATAAACTTCCAAAAACAAAAAAAACAACATCTGTCGATAGATCTTGATCTAAATTCGTGCCAATATGCATTGCAAAAGTAAAAGAAGGGCCTGTTTAATGGAGCAGCCGCGAAGCATCCACCACGCGAAGCCGTTTTCAATCCATGTTAATGTATATATAAGAAAAAACTGCTATGTATGGTAACAGAGCGCGATAGCCGAGCGGTTTAAGGCGGTGATTTTAATTACATCACCTTTTTTACGCAAGAGATCGAATCCCATCTTCGTCAAAAGTTTTTTAATTATTTATTTTTTTATTTTTTATTTTTTTCGGCATATAAAAGTATTAATGACTGCTTTAATATTCGAGAAATAGTTGTTTTTATACGCTCTCGGGAAGGTTACAATTGGGCTATTGCCCTCGGAACGCCTCGGGTAATAGCACAATTCTAACCTTCCCTTGAGCGTATAAAAACAACTATTTCTCTCAAAGCAGTCATTAATACTATACTTTGTCCTCATACTGCGGCCATAGTCTTAATCTCAATATACAAGTAAAGGAACTGATAAAAGCAGCGAGAAAATGTGTGCAAATCTTGTACTTCAAATGCCAATACTTAAGTTAAAAATCTAAAGCATTCTGAATATAAAAAGAGAATCAAACGCTGAACACTGGTGTTGCCTCTGAGTTCTGATATGAAAAGAAAAATCAAACTCTCTTACTTCGGGCTAGTTCTTAACTACTTGACTTTTAAAGGGATAGTTGAGTTCTTGTTTCAAACCGCAAATGCCTTCAAAGTGCTTGGTTATTGCTCTTATTTGCCATGTCAGAAAACATATTATTAGACCCTTAAATAATTAGAATCGGACAATGTTAACTGTGTTGGTGAATTTCTAAAGTGCATTGATCTTTTTGACCATAGCGCCCTCATGTAAGGTCGGAGGTATAACAAATTATACATTTTTGGAATCCTCATGACCAGACGAGTAATTTGATATGCAATTTGATAAGGTTAACTGTGTTGGTGAATTTGACCACCAGTCAAAGGTGTGTTGACCTTTCAAAGTTTTTGACCATAGCGCCCTTATTTAAGGTCGGAGGTATAGCAAACTATACATTTTTGGAATCCTCATGACCAGACGAGTAATTTGATATGCATATCGACACAATTGAAATATATTTGAATTTCTACCCTGTATGACCTTTGTTGACCCCTCACGAAAATGCCCGGGATTTTCAAGGGGGCAGCCCAAGTCAAAATAGTTCGGTATTCATCAGGGAACACAAAAACACTTTCAAACCTTTGTTCCCAGAGATTGGTCACGGGACCTACAGGCTGGTCTCCTACTAATACCAATTCAGCTCCACTTTTGAAAAAATACGATGACCGTTAATTTATAAGAACAATACACGTGCCGGCTGGTTCACGAAAAAGCCAACAAAAAGCCAACATCGGCATTGACTGGAATAAAACGTATAAGGCGCTATCTCGTTTTTACAACGCCTGGTTCAAATCATCGAATATTTGAGGGGCACCACAAATATTAGAAATCGTTATATTTATGGATAGTTCAGCCGCCTCTGAACTGATTTCGATCAAACAAAGATGATTAGGTCATTTAAATTGTACGTTCTTTCAAATTTGACACTCAACTTTTCATTATATCACCAGAAAAATATCATGTGTAGAGCCTTTTCCAACAAAACTAAACTATCTCTTTAATCTGGCCATATTCTTGATCTCCTTTTATTTTAAAGTAAAATGAAATTATAAAAACAGCAAGGAAGCTCATGTAAATTTCATATTTAAGCTGAAAAAAATCAAAGCTTTTGCGAATACAAAGAAACAAAGAGCGAGATCATACTCTGAAGGAGAAATCGGGAACAGCTTTTAATAGCATTTGCGGTGCCTCTGACAAGTACAGAATAAAATCACTTGCTATAAATGGACAACTGCCAAATCCTTTGACTTCACTCACTGCCCTCACAGCGAACAATGTCTTAATCTCAATAAACAGTCACTGGCATTGGTTATGCATTTCTCTTTATTTCACCTTCAAGAATTAAACAATTGAAGCATTGTATATGTCAAAGACAAATATCTTGAGAAGAGTATAAATATGAGCAGGTTGATAATTTTGGATCATTCGAGTCCAGAAGCCAACAAGAGTAGAAACAACTTGAGAAGTCATCAGGGAAACTCTAGTTAACTTGCTTATCTAAAATGGCTACAACTGTAAGTAAAATATAATCTATTCATTAATGATTAATCCTCAATCACTGTTGTGAATTTTAATCTGAAGTCTAGTGAGTCTTTTTTAATTGCTGCATATTATTCCGGAAATTTATCTAGTTAAACCTTTTTAATTTCTGGTTTAGTTTTGCATTACGTTGTAATATTTTTTGATATTTATCATGTTGCCCATACCCAGCATATTATTCTCAGGGAACATACTTTCGAAACAAAAATGAAGATCTTACATTCTGAGAATCAAAGAATTGAATGAAATTATACCAAGTGGTCAGTAATTTGTTGGGAAGTCGCACTCGTTGCATTCTTCATAATCAAGTGTAACAAGTATTATAATGAATAGTTTCCTATTTATTGTGGGTTTTTTTCTTCTTCAGATGAAACTTACCGTTGCACTATGCCTGATTGCTGTATCATACATCACCTTCTCAGAAGCATTCCGTAAGTTTTCATGATTCATCTATTACTTAATTTGACATTTTATTTTTTACTTAATAATGTGCAGTAATAAAGAAAAAGTTAACCATCCATTGTTCTTCATTGACTTCCATCCAAAACGTAGGGATGGGAGGACGAGTACATTTCATTTAATGATCAAATTTCAAATTTTCGTTTAGTTGACCAATGTGATTCACATGTTATTCTTATTATTGTTATTATCAACATTTTCATTATTATTAGTAGTATTGTTATCATTATCATTATTGTTATAATTTCTTATCATTCTTAATATCATTATTACCATTATTATCATCCTTTCTTTTTTTATAGCACGACAAAGTATCAACGATCACCTGATCAAGTCTTGCCTCGGATACAAAGAGAAGAAGAGAGGAGAGGGCCATCGTTGTAACCCCGAGGTCCTCGATCACGTGCACGACTTCGCCGAGGGGGTGCAAAGGGCGGGGCCTGGGTACAGCGGCGACCTTGTGGAGAAGTTCCTTAAACAGGCCGACAACAAACAACTCTGTTACCTGGAAGGATCCGAGCTACGCAAAGTCGTCGGGGGCTGTGCCGCCATGGAGCTCGTGTGCGATGCCTTTACTCCAAGGGTCGTCGATGAGTGCTCAAGTGAGTAATTAGCATAAGTTTTGATTTTAGTCCATAGCAACGGGTACGGGGAGAGAGAGAGAGAGAGAGAGAGAGAGAGGGGGTGAGGGGGGGGGGGGGGGCAAGGGTGCGTACGTATCCCAGAATGGAATTGTGGTGTAACATACTGTTTGAGATTTGAGTGACAAAATTGCAAAAACAATCTCCAGCCTAATTCTGCTACAAATGTTCTACTAGTTTACAAATATTCCAATGCTGGAAAGTGCAACAAAAAAAAAAAAAAAAAAAAAAAAAAAAAAAAAAACCTTGATCAAAATCATGATGGCAGTTGCACTGTCCAACATTGGAAAATTTGAACCAATTGATGACTGATTTGCACTAACCGATGACCCATACGGCATTCATGTATATCCATATGATTTTGAAGTTTTAAATCATGAATCTTTACATAATTTGGAAGCTATAGCAATCCTCGTTCGAAATAAATTTTCTCACCCCTATGTCTTTATTACTTGGTATCGTCCTCCCAATAGTTACTCTGAGCTTTTTTGTCATTATGAATCGTTGTTGTCTTTTATTGACAGTTTTAATCATAGTACGGTCATTATGGGCGATTTTAATTGTGATATTCTAAAGACCCCTTTACATAGTGAAACTAAGAGATTGATGCAAATACATGATATTTATTCTCTTGAGAACATAAATGTCACAACTAGCACCCGTGTTACTGATACCTCATCTAGCCTAATAGATCTGATGGTTACTAACAGGATTGATCAAATTAAGTTATCTGGTGTTATCAATATTGGATTAAGTGACCATTCACTGAATTATGTTGTTTGGGGACTACCTTGTACTCACCATGTTCCTCGTACTATAACGTATAGAAAAATGAAAGGTATTGATATTGTAAATTTTTGTGAGCAGATTGATAATCAACCCTGGGAGAATGTTTACTTAGCTCATGATATTGATGAAGCAGTTGAGTTGTGGGAGAATTACTTGATGGAAGTTGTCAATACTATTATGCCCTCTAAATCCAGAAGAATCAAAAATAAAATTTCTCCATGGATGACTTCTGAAATCATGAATTTGATAAAGGAACGTGATAAAGCCAAAAGAAAAGTACGGAAAAGCAAAAATAACGATGCTATGAATTGTTATCGTAAGTTAAGAAATAAAGTAACTTTTGAAATAAGAAAAACTAAAAGACAATATTATGTTAATAAACTGTCCTCTGCTATGGGGAGATCTACTGAGGTCTGGAAGGTTTTGAAGACTGTTTTGCCAACATCTCGTACTAATAGTACTGAAGCCCATGTAAATGATTCTGATATGAGAGCTAATGAGTTTAATCTATTTTTTCTTCTATCGGTGCAGAGTTAGCCTCTAATTTTCATGATCCTCCACATTCAATAAATGATGATGAAGTTCGTGTTAAGAATGATGCTAAGTTTACGTTTCATTTAGTCACTGAAAATGATGTTCGAAAAGAACTAATGAAATTGAAAGATAATACTTCTGTGGGCTTAGATGGGATTTCTTCCAAAATTTTGAAAATGTGTGCTCCTATTATTGTTCCATATCTTACTCACATAATTAATAGATCATTCCTCGAGTATAAGTTTCCAAATCAATGGAAGAGGTCAAAAGTCATTCCCATTCATAAATCTGGCAACAAAAATTCCCCAAATAACTTTCGTCCTATCTCAATACTACCTACGGTATCAAAATTGCTGGAAAGATTTGTTCAGCGGCAATTAGTTTCCTTTTTAGAAGAAAACAAACTTTTATCAGCAGAACAATTTGGCTTTAGGAGTAAACACTCAACAATAACGTCTTTGGTTAAAATTACAGATAGATGGATGAACGCTGTTGATCAGGGAAAATATACAGGAGCAGTATTTATTGATCTAAAAAAAGCTTTCGATTGCGTTGATCCTGACTTGCTCCTCGAAAAGCTACGTAATATTGGTATAGCTGAAGAATGTTTGCCATGGTTTAATGATTATTTACATAACAGGTTTATTTCCACTTATTTTGGTTCAACTCTTTCATCTCATTTACCCATTTCTTTTGGTGTACCGCAGGGTTCCATTTTGGGGCCTTTGCTTTTCATTATTTTCGTTAACGATTTAACTCAATATACACATTATTGTTCCATTCAACTTTACGCTGACGATACTGTTCTTTATTTTTCAGATTTTAATGTGGAAAGTGTTCAAAATAAACTAAATCATGACTTGTCATATATTTATAAATGGATGTGCAATAATAAGTTAACACTGAATTTTGATAAGACTGTATCCTTACTTATAGGCTCTAGACATATGTTAAGTAAATGTAATAAATTAAATGTATATATAAATAATATTGCAATACAACAGACTGACAGTGTAAAATATCTCGGGTTTATTATCGACAGCAAACTTAAGTGGGATGTCCATATAGATAAATTATGTAAGAGGGTTGGAAACCTAGTAAAATATTTGGCTAGACTACGTTATTTTATTAATGAGACGAATTTGAACTTGATATATAAAGCAATTATTTTACCCCTTTTTGACTATGCAGACATTTTAATCGATTCATGTGATAAAAAATATATTAAGAAACTGCAAACTCTCCAAAATCGCGCGGGCAGAATAATAATGAAAGTTAATCCATATGAACACATTTCTAATGCACAAATTCATTCACTTTTAAAATGGTCATCTCTCGAATCCAGGCGTAAGAAAAATCTTAATGTATTTGTCTATAAATCAGTCCATAATATGTTATCTCCCAGTATGAATGAAATGTTTCAACCCCCTTCTCATATTTATTCCCTCCGCAATTCCGGTAACTTTGTTCTCCCTAAACCTAGAACTGAATATTGTCGCAGAACTACCCAATACAGAAGCTCAATTCAATATAATACTCTTCCTCCTACCACTAAATTACTTCAAACTGTTCAAACATTCAAAAAGTATTTAAACAATACTATTCCAGACTTCTTGTAGCTGTACTTTTTTTTTTTTTTTTTTTTTTTTTTTTTTTTTAAATAAATAAATAATTTACTTGTCTAGCTTTCTCTCTTGTATAAATATCGTAAATATTTCTCTCATGTTTCTTGTTTTACTCGAATTTGTAATTATTATTGTAAGTTCTTATTTTGCTGTAAGTTTTCCTTACTTTTGTAATAACTATTTTCATGTTTTCTATTTCTATAGGGACCCCTCTGTAAACCAGCATTGTTTTGCTAACAACGCTGAGTAGGGCCATCCCTCCGTCTTTCTTTTTTTATAAGTGTGTCTTTATGATTGTAAATATATATATATATAATTATGTTGATGTATTTTTTTAAATGACGGAAAATAAATACAATACAATACAATACAACTTGCGACAGAATTCCGTTGGAACTCATTCCCGTTCATTTGGCAATACCCTTATAATTATAATCCACGTACCTTTCCCCGTTTCATTTTACAGCCCTACAGAATGCAATTCCTCCCCCAACTCTTCCAACAACACAGCGCCCCCAAACCGCTGCACCCACGGCAGGTATGCCTGCTCCCATGGTCTAGACCAACATCTTCATCAATTCTCAAACTCCAACATCCAACCCGTCATCTTATCACCATGGTATTAAACGGTAATTGATGAAAAGGCGCAGTGGGCACCACACCAGCAACAACACAAGGTCCAACAACCGGAACAGCTTCAACAGCTTTACCACCTACCACTGTCTAGACCAACACTCACTTCACCATCTCAAACTCTAACGTCCAACCAGTCATCTTCCATCTCATCACTATGGTAACAACGGATGATGATGAGGATTCAAATTCAGAAGAATAGAACTTATTGATCTATATCTCTCTTACTAGTGGTCAGAAGTTACTAATTAATTCCCTGCACGTAGGGTTTGATTATAAATATTGAGAAATAAGATTGTGATTTGTATGTATATATTGTTTTTCTTTCGCTAATTTATGATTATTCAAAGATGAATAAAAAATGTTAACGAAAAAAATGATGTTCAAACATGTTTTGAAATGTATTACTTTATTGTGTTTGAACTGTGATGCTAAAAAATGATGTTTGATTTTGCGAGGAAGGACTATAAAATTTAGTGATTGATGAGTGTAAGTTGTAATAGAGATAGATTAAGAGATATATATATAGAGAGAAAGAGAGAGGTGGAGAGAGAAAGTGAAAGAGACAGAGTAAGAGAGAGAGACAGAGTAAGAGAGAGACAGAGCGAGAAAGTGAGATAGAGAGAGTAAGAGAGGGAGAGAGAGAAAGAGAGAGAAAGAGAAAGAGAGAGAGAGAATGAATGTGTGATGAGATAGAAGACAGTGCAGAAGAGAGAGAGGGAGAGAGAGAGGGGGGGGGGGGAGAAAGAGAAAGATAAAAAGAAAGAGAAAGATAAAGAGAAAAAGAAAAACAGAAATATAAGGAACAGACAGACAGAAACACAACAAAATGATAGAAAAAAAGAAAGAAAAAATGAAATGTAAGATAAAGAGAAAGAAGGATAGTAATTCAGTCACTATAAAAGTTTATTCTTGTTGCGTACAGTAAAACAAGTAACTTAGCGAGCAAGAAATGTCCACGATATTTCGTGAGAGAAACAGACAAAAGTATCACCCTGCGAAATGGTTGAAATGAAATATTACATTCATGCACAGTCCAAGAATGGTGACATAACCCTAATAAGGCCGGGCTATTTGAAGTCTTAGTAGGGCCGGGGGGGGGGGGCCATTATGGCCCCCCCTCAAGATCTCGGCCGCGAAGCGGCCGATCGCCGCGAAAATTTGCACGCATGTCAAGTGAAGTGTAAAGAATAATATGATCATTTCAATTTTTTGAAAAATTCACTCATTTGCATATTTATGGTAATTTATGCAAATAAAGTCATAAAAATCACATTTTTACCAATAAATCATATATTATTCATATTTAAGCATTCTTTTTCCCTAGATATATTCATTAGACCATTCTGAACAATAATAAGACAAAAAAATTGGAAGAGCCAGCTTATTTCTTATGTTATCCCTTGTTTTGATAATTTCTTATGTATTTCATTGTTTTTTTAACTTATGTATTTCATTGTTTTTGTTGTTTTATTTTATCTTTTACTACAATTCAACTATTTTGACTCCCAAAACAACCATCTAAGCTTTAAACAAGACCCAATAACCCATGTTTGATCTGCTTTTAGGAAAAATGACTTTGCCATACGTTTTGTACACAAATCACGAAAATGAGCGATTTTCAGGCTGACATGCGAAGACAAAAGGTCACGTGACCTTGTAACCGTAGGTCCGATTTTCAAAAAAATTATTTTAAAAGTTGCGCAAGACTCAAAAGAAAAAAGTCAGCGAGCGGCGGGGCGCCATCCATATGCGTTCCCGAGCAATCGAAAAAAATGTGGAGGGGGGGGGCCATAATGGCCCCCCCCCGGCCTTATTAGGGATAAAGCTTTGACAATAATTCAATACAAAGTGATATTTTACTCGAATATAACTAGATATAATAAATACTATTCCTGAACTGTGCCTAGGTATACCCTTTACATTATCTTCAATTAAGGGAATAGTTGAGTTCTGTTTTCAGATCGCAAATGCCTTTAAAGTGCATGGTTATTGCTCTTATGCTTATCTATGACATTTCTAGTGCCCTTTTAGAACCTAAAATTGCTATGAAGGTAATTTTAGACCCCAAAATGTGTGAAATTTATCCAATACGATCATAATTCAGCTCCTCTTTAAAAAAAATACGGTGACCGTTAATTAATTATTTAATTAAAAATACCAATACATGGGCCAGCTTGTTGCGCATAATATAACCAACACGAAAATACCAACAAAAAAGCCATCATCGGCATTGGCTGACTGAAATACGACGTAAAAGAAGCTATTTCGTTTTTTCAACGGTTTTTTTCAAATTATGTAATATTTGTGGTGGTACACAAATATTAGACTAGTATTAGGAATCGTTATATGTATGGATATTTCAGCCGTCTCTGAACCGATTTTGAGCAAACAAAGATGATTTTTGTCATTTAAATTGTATGTTCTTTCAAATTTGACACTCAGTTTTTCATTATCTCACAAACAAATTATTTTGTGTAGCGCCCTCTGCAACAAAACTCAACTATCCATTGAAGAGTCCAGTTCACGCTTAGCACACGTCTCAATGACCCCGAATATCCGCATATCTTCAAAACATGAAGAGGTCCAACTTTGTACATTTTGAAATAATCACTCCTACAGCGATGGAGGTGCTACATAAATAACATTTGTTTCCCCTTTTCAAAGAATACTTCCACCTGTGTATCATGGAGTACACTGCTTTAAGCAGTATATAATTGCATAAATAGATAATGATTACATAACTTTCATGAGCACGTATCCAGTATTTTACCTGCGTGTACTTCACAATTTCTTTCTGCAATGACATTTATCTATTCATGCTCAGACTGCAACCGTAAACTGGCTTAAAGGTATAGACCAGTTTTGGAAGTGCCCCCACCCTCTCAAACGAAGAATTGAAAGCTCTTGTTACCAATCATGTGAAAGAATATGTTTTGACTAATACGTGATAATACAATTTTTCCGGGAAACCGCCTACTAATTGATATATTTGGTAAATTATTATACCTCTTCGGACTGGATAGATATCGGGTAGTCCCATATACATCTTTCTGTGTACAGTGCTTGTAACTATACCAAGACTGGGCCAAATTTCTTATCATTTTGATGATTCCAGAACCATGCAGTACACACCGATACTTATATGCTAGATGATCAACCTTTTCTGATCGATTCCACAACGTTTCTTTCACAATACAATCGCATGACCAGAACTGGTCTATACCTTTAATGACCGATATTATAATCATATCGAACAGAGAAGCAATTCGGGAAACTCTAAAATCTCTACAGGTTTTTGCACCCTATCTGTTCAAAGGGATTCAAGGCAGCCTGAACAAATGAATTACTGAATTAAAATCTTGGAATTAAGTAAAGTAATCCCCGATATATTAAACGCCTTATTTTTCTACACATTCCGTTTCTATGGAATGTGTAGATTTCACATATTTCAAACATGAATGTTTCCTCACATTTGTGTGTAATTATTCATTTATCGTCTCCAGGCAGTTCTAGAAAGTAATTTGTCAAAATATTGCCGATATTAATGAGGCGAAAAAAACCAAAGGACACCAACAGAATTATTTAAAACACAGTTGACGGAAAGTCCTATTATGTTTTTTGTATTTATAATACAAATTGTGACGAACATGATTATACACGATAGTTTTGAATAATTTCAATAAATGATAAAGTCTTATCAAAACCGTATATACCCAGAAAACAAAAACAAACAAACAAACAAACAAAGACAAAAGAAAATGAATTGGCCATTTTGTTTTGGATTAATAGTTTTTTAATTCGAGTTTCCTTTGACAATGAGGCAATATTTCAGACTTTGTAATATATCCAAACCCAATGTCCTCATACTGCGGCCATAGGCTTAATCTCAATATACAAGTAAGGGAACTAATAAAAACAGAGAGAAAATGTGTGCAAATCCTGTACTTCAAATGCCAATACTTAAGTTAAAAATCTAAAGCATTCTGAATATAAAAAGAGAATCAAACGCTGAACACTGGTGGTGCCTCTGAGTTCTGATATGAAAAGAAAAGTAAAACTCTCTTATTTCGGGCTAGTTCTTAACTACCTGACTTTTAAAGGGATAGTTGAGTTCTTGTTTCAGACCGCAAATGCCTTCAAAGTGCATGGTTATTGCTCTTATACTTATTTATGACATTGCTAGTGTTCTTTATAAGGACCTAACATTGCTATGAAAGTAATTTTAGACCTCAAAATGTGTGAAATTTAGCCAATACGATCAATCCAATTCAGCTCAACTTTAACAAAAATACGGTGACCGTTAATTAATAAAAACAATACACTGGCCGGTTGGTTGTGCGTATTATATATAACCAACACGAAAAAGCCAACAAAAAGCCAACATCGGCATTGGCTGGAATAAAACGTATAAGGCGCTATTCTCGTTTTTTCAACGGCTAGTTCAAATTATCGAATATGTGTGGGGCACCACAAATATTAGAAATCGTTATATTTATGGATAGTTCAGCTGCCTCTGAACTGATTTTGTTCAATCAAAGATTATTAGGTCATTTTGAATTGTATGATCTTTCAAATTTGACACTCAGCTTTTCATTATCTCACCAAAACAAATATTTTGTGTAGCGCCTTCTGCAACAAAACTCAACTAACCCTTTAATATGGCCATATTTCTTGAATTTATAAAAGCAGCAAGAAAGCTCATCAAAATTCCATATTTTAGCTGGAAAAAAAATCAAAGCTTTTGCGAATACAAAGAAACAAAGAGCAAGATCACACTCTGAAGGAGAAAATGAGAAACGCTTTAATATAGCATTTGCGGTGCCTCTGACAAGTACAGAATAAAATCCCTTGCTATAAATGGACAACTGCCAAATCCTCTGACTTCACCCTCTGTCCTCACAGCGAACAATGTCTTAATCTTAATAAACAGTCGCTGGCATTGGACATGCATTTCTCTTTCTTTCATCTTCTAGAAATGAAAAATTGAAGCATTGTATATTTCAAAGAAAAATATCTTGAGAAGAGTATAAATAAGAGCAGGTTGCTAATTTGGGATCATTCAAGTCTAGACGCCAGCATCAGTCGAAACAACCTGAGAAGTCATCAGAGAAACTGTAGGAAACTAGCTTATCTAAAATGGCTACAACTGTAAGTAAAATATAATCTATTCATTAATGATTTGTCATTAAGTATCAGTTCTTTGAATTCTTTTTTAAACGAAGTTAATCTGAAGTCTAGTGATATTTTATTCCTACATTTTATTCCGGAAAATGTTCTTGTCCAACTGTTGCAAATTCTGGTTTTAATGTTCCATTAAATATTTATTGATGTTGCCCATATCCTGCATATTATTCTTACAGAAAAAAATAAAATATAGATCTTAAATTCTGAGAACCAAAGAATTTAATAAAATGATACCATCGAGTGGTCAGTAATTTGCAGTAGTTTGTTGGGAAGTCGCTCTCGCCAAACTCTTCCTTATCAAGTGTAACAAGTATAATGAATATTTTCCTCTTTTCATGTTTTATTTTCTTCAGATGAAACTAACCATTGTACTATGCCTGATTGCTGTATCATACATCACCTTCTCAGAAGCATTCCGTAAGTTTTCTAGATTCATCAACGAATGGACAATTATCCATTATTTTTTACATTTATTTGATTATGTGGAGCTCCTGTAAGAAAAAAAGACTATTCTTTGAGCTTTCTTGCCTTCCGTAGACAACGTAGAGACGGGAGGACAAGTAAATTTAATTTATTGACCAAATTCCAGCTCTTCATTTAATTGACCAATGTGGTTCATTCTAATGCTTTACAAATTCGTAATTATGGTACACTGAGTTTACCGATTATTTGTGTCTATCAGCGCCCGTGCCAAACCAGAGATTGTGTCAATTGGCTACTGGGATTGTAAAAGGTTCACATTGTAAAAACAAAAGTAAAATATTATTAGGTCTGTTGGGGATGTGGGAGGGGACTGTTGTGTTGTAGCAGTTCATTCACTTGACTTTTAAACTAAGGGTTGAGGGTTCGCCTTTGCAAGACATTAATCCAAATTTGCTACTCTTTACCCACGTGTAAATGTGTACCTCAGAAAGAACCGCATTGAAGCTGTTGATGTTTTCTTTAGGACACAAATTCATTATTATTACTATAAGTATTATCATTATTATTATCATCATTATTATTATTATTAAAATTGTTATCATTATTGTTATCATCATCATTGCTATCATCCTTAATATCATTATTACCATTATTATCATCCTTTTCTTGTTTATAGCACGACAAAGTATCAATGATCACCTGATCAAATCTTGCCTCGGATACCAAGAGAAGAAGAGCGGAGAGGGCCATCGTTGTAACTCTGAAGTCCTCGATCACGTGCACGACTTCGCCGAGGGGGTGCAGGGGGCGGGGCCTGGGTACGACGGCGACCTGGTGGAGACGTTCCTCAAACAGGCCGACAACAACCAACTCTGTTACCTGGAAGGATCCGAGCTACGCAAAGTCGTCGGGGGCTGTGCCGCCATGGAGCTCGTGTGCGATGCCTTTACTCCAAGGGTCGTCGATATGTGCACAAGTGAGTAATTCACTTAAAGATGAAGTTGAGTTCTGGTCATGCGATTGCATTGTGAAAGAAACGGTGTGGAAACGACCAGAAAAGGTTGATCATCTAGCATATAAGAATTTGTGTATATCGCAAGGTTCTGGAATCATCAAAATGATAAGAAATTTGGCCAAGTCTTGGTAAAGTTACAAACACTTGCACAGAAAGATGTATATGGGACTACACGAACACATGGCGTAAAAAGCCGGCCCCCCGATTTTTACGATGTTACATGCATATTTAGAATATGAAGGCATTTGAAGAGCCATGCTTTTCAGGGAACATGTCTTAACTGATGTTCTTTCACACTTGCATAATAAAAATGAGTAATGCTCACAAATTATTTTTCACCTCTTCCCAGAACTCAACCTTCTCTTTAATAATTGTTTGTTTTTGTCCTTTTGAAAGATGAACATTTCGGGGGCTTAGCTAACTACTGGTACGGGGAGGGGAAAGGGGGAAAAGAAAAGAAGGGAAAGAAAGAGATGAAAGGAGTCTTCTTCTCTTTCACTCATTCTTCTTTTTATCACCAATTTTCTCCTTCTTCGCCCTTTTCTTTCTTTTTCTGCTTATTTCTCCTTCTCCTCCCCCTTCTTTCTTCTCCTCATCATCTTCTTTCGCCAGTGTACCTTTTTTGGTGTGATTATGAACACATTGCCGAGTTATGTGTGCCTAGTCGTTCGAGGTTTGAGATTTTAGAGACAAAATGTGCAAAAAGAAAATCTCTAATGCAATACTTTTACAAATGTTTTGCTTATTTTCAAGCAATTCCATGATCAAGAATTGTTGACTTTTTCATAATTATAATGACAGTTGCACGTTCCAGCATTGGAAAATTTGAACCAATCGATGACTGTTTTGCACTAACCGATGACCCGTATTATGTATATCTAACTTGCAACAGAATTTCGTTGGAACTCATTCCCGCCCATTTTGGAAATATCATAACAGTCCACGTACCTTTCCCTGTTCATTTTACAGCCCTACAGAATGCAATTCCTCCCCCAACTCTGCCGGCGACAACACAGCGCCCCCAAACCGCTGCACCCACGACAGGTATGCCAGCTCCCACTGTCTAGATCAACATCATTATCAATTCTCAAACTCCGACATCCAACCAGTCATCTTATCACCAAGGTAACGGTTATTGATGAAAATGCGCAGTTGGCACCACACGAGCAACAACACACGGTACATCAGCCGAAACAACTTCAGCAGCTTGACCATGCAGCTACTACTGTCTAGACCAACATCCTCTTCAATTCTCAAACTCCGACATCCAGTCACTCATCTTATCACCGTGGCAACGATGATTGATTAAGATGTGCAGTTGGCACCATACGAGCAACAACACACGGTACATCAGCCGAAACAACTTCAGCAGCTTGACCATGCAGCTACTACTGTCTAGACCAACATCCTCTTCAATACTCAAACTCCAACATCCAACCAGTCATCTTATCACCATGTTATTAAACGGTAATTGATGAAAAGGCGCAGTGGGCACCACACGAGCAACAACACACGGTACATCAGCCGAAACAACTTCAGCAGCTTGACCATGCAGCTACTACTATCTAGACCAACATCCTCTTCAATTCTCAAACTCCAACATCCAACCAGTCATCTTATCACCAAGGTAACGGTTATTGATGAAAATACGCAGTTGGCACCACACAAGCAACTACACACGGTACATCAGCCGAAACAACTTCAGCAGTTTAACCATGCAGCTACTACTGTATAGACCAACATCCTCTTCAATTCTCAAACTCCAACATCCAACCAGTCATCTCATCACCATGGTATTAAACGGGAATTGATGAAAATGCCCTGTGGGCACCACACCAGTAACAACACAAGGTCCAAAAACCGGAACAGCTACAACAGCTTTACCACCTACCACTGTCTAGACCAACACTCACTTCACCGTCTCAAACTCTAACGTCATGGTAACATCATTATGATAACAGCGGTCGATTAGGATTCACATTCAGAAGAATAGAACTTATCGATCTATATCTCTCTTACTATAGTGATCTGAAGTTACTAATTATTTCCTCACGTACGGTTTGTTTCTTACCATTGAGAAAATGATTGTGATTTGTATGTATATTTTGTTTTCTTTCGCTAATTTATGATTATTCAAAGATGAGTAAAAACGTTCATTAAAATTTAAAAAAATATTCAAACGTGTTTTGATCATTTTTATTTGACTGTGTTTGAATTGTTAGGATGCAGACATTGATGTTTAATTTTGCGACGAAGAACTATAAAATAAAGTCATTGATAAATGTAAGTTACAAATATGTAGAGAGATTGATAACGTAAGAAAAAAAGAACATCCGATTGAGAGAGAGCGAGAGAGAGAGAGAGAGAGAGAGAGAGAGAGAGAAAAGAGAGAGAGCGAGGATATGTGATGAGATAAAAAGAGAGGGCGGAAGAGAGAGAAGGAGAAAGAGAAAGAGAAAAAGAAAGATAGGGAGAGAAAGAAAGAAAGAAATATAGGGAAACAGACAGACAGAAACGAAACAAACTGATAAAGATAGAGAAAGGAGAAGAGACATGAAAAGAAAAGGGAAAGAAGGATAATAATTCATTTATTACAAAGAGTCATTTTTGTTGCGAACAGTGAAACATATAACTTCGCTAGCAAGACATTTATGCGAAGTTTCGCGAGCGGAACAGACAAAAGTGCCATGCCGCGAAATGATTGAATTAAAACATAACATTTATCCACAGTCCAATAATCCTGACATAAACATTTGGACAATTAAGTTATCAAAATTATCTTTTACTAAAATTTAACTAAATATAATGAATACCATTCCTAAGTAGTATCTAGGTATAAACCTTAAACATTATGTTCCATATATTAAAATGACTGATATTATATGAACTTGTATGTATCCTATAAGCATAGGCCTATCTCGCAGGGTTGCAAATCGGGAGGCCCTAAAATTTCTACAGGTTTTTGCATTCTAGATATTTGTTGGGATATAAGTCGGAGTGACAAAGTCAATTATTGAATTAAACTCTTGGAATTATTAAAGTATAAAAAGTAACTCTCATTGTAATGCCTTATTCGTCTACACATTACGTTTCTATGGGATATATTGATTTTACATATTTCAAACATGAATGTTTCCTTTCTATTTTTTCATAACTATTCATACGATTCTTAAAAATAATCTGTTAAAATATTGCCAATATTAATGAGGCGGAAATATACAATGCTTCAAAAGACTTCAACGGAAACATTAACAAAGCAAATTTGACGGAAAATCCCATTATAAATGATGTATTTATAATACAATTTGCGATGAACATGATATTACTACATGGTCATTCTGGTTAATGTCATTTATTTAGATGAATATTGTCTCATCAAAACCGTCTATAACCGAAATAAACATAGGCTAACTAAAAACAAACAAAGAACCAAACTAAAAACATATGAACAAATGAATTGGCCATTTTTCTTTTGAGTATTATGATGAATGATTCATTGCTTTGGTTTCGTTTTCATTCGAGTTATCCTTTGACAATGAGGCCCGATTAAATTATCCGAAATATCACTTATCAAATCACTTCTGATAGAAAAGTTCACAAGTCAATCCTGTACACTGTGAAAAGATTGGGCAATATTTTTTCAACACTTTGCCCAACGTTGTGCTTATAGTCAACCCAACCATTTATTGGGCAATATTTTGCCCAGTGGTATTGGTAAACGTAAGTACCCTACTTCACACGTGCATAATTGATTCGTATTCTGACCAAAATTTCGGCAAAAGATATGACCCTTCAATCGCCCAACTAGGGTAGCCCACTTGTTGGGAAAATCTTGACCAACTGTTGGGCAAAATACGAAAATATTGCTCAATAGATGGTTGGGTTGACTATTGGCAAAGTGTATAATTTAACCCATGAACCTGTGAGACAGGAAACTATCACTAGAGAATTCTGCAGTGACAACACACTCCGAAAATGTAATAACTTTGTTTTCCTCCCTTTTGTTAAAGTATTTCTGACCCGCCTCGCACATGCGAGGTAACAGTCAGTGCATGGAGGGAAAAACAAAAATCGGTTTCATGTCGTAAACAATACATTTATAAAGCGCCATTCATTAAAAACAAAGTGCATAAAACAAGGAATAAAACAAGGAATACCTTCACAAAAATAAAGAAAGAGAACATGTTCATACGAAGCGTATCATATCACATGCATTGTATACAGAAATGGGTTTATGGGATTTGATTTGATTCGATTTTTTTCTGCATTAACAAAATCGATAACAATATTAATTTAAAATAGACTAAGTATTTCCTGACAGTGAATCATGAATAAGCAAATATATATAACAATTGTTATTTTGAAAAACGAAATGATAAAGTGTCATTAATTGGTCATTCATTAACTTCTTTCAAACGAATTTCTAATATTGTGTTTTTAAGCATTTTGTGTATTTTTTTACTGATGTAATAAAGAAAAAAATCTTATTGGTTAGAATAGGAAATGTTTAATCATGTTAACAGGACATCGATGAAAAACAGCTTTGCTGATTCGATTGTTTCTTTTTTATCCTGTATAAATATGTCAAATAAATAAATTAATTAATTAGTTAATTAATACTAAATTTCGTCAAACATTATACAATTATTTGCGTAAAAAAGGACTGTCAATGTTAGCAGATTGCTTGAAAATAAGACAGCCCCAGCAAAAAAACTCATGAAATAGATAAAGACATTTATTTATTAAGCAGGATGGATAAGTAATTGAAAATACAAATTAAAGGATGATGATTTTGACAATGCAGATGAGGAGGATGCTGCTGCTGCTGCTGATGATGATGATGATGATGATGATGATGATGAGGATGAAGATGATGATGATGATGGCGATGATGGTGATGACGATGATGATACACGTGGCATGAGAGTTTGGTCCAAACTTTTCAGCTACTATATTCTTTAACATATCTGGATTATAAAGAGGGACGTTTCTCTTATCAATTCTTAAAAACTGACATTCAAAGAATGAGAAACCTCACATAATATGACATTTGTCATTTTTCCCTGAAATCAAACTTCTCTTCAAGCGAATAATAACAAAAGTTATTAAGGTATTTGAAGGAAATTGTTTTGATTATTATATATTTGTGTATTGACGTTCTACTATAAAAAATATTTTTTTTTAATTGTGAAATTTCGACCCAACATTTGGACTGGCAGAATTGCTTGGGGATTTATTTAGTAAAAGAAAAGAGAAGATACGCAGTTAAAGGTAAATGATGCAATTAGGTTTTAGGGTTGAGGGTCGGGGCTAAAATTAGGAATGCAGTTAGCTTTATATAAAGTTGACTTGAAGCAATTGTCTCATTTACTGTTCAACGACCCCCCCCCCCCCTCCCCCATCTTTCTCTCTCTTTCATCTCTCTTTCTCTCTCTCTCTCTCTCTCTCTCTCTCTCTCTCCAGAACTTCTACATTGGTGACCCTGTCCATGCACCTACAGTAATTCCTTTCATTTCTCTCTTAGGTAACATTTCCAAACTGCCAATCAACCTTTCCTCTGCTCACCTAATAATATTGTCCAAGTTTAATTTGGAGCCATACAATGCTACTCTACAAACCGTACCTAATTATGACAAGATTTTCCTTTGATTTACAACCCTAAATCCCTTCTTTTTTTTTAATTAGCGGATTTTCGCCTCCATAATAATTCGCCCCATACCACCTGACTGTACTGACTGATATTGGGTGTGGTCTCTCATTACCCCCACACAATATCCAAAAATGAAAGTTTAAGGGGCTATTCCACCCATTTTGGCCTCGATATTGACGCACAAGGCGATTAATATTCCGAACAAAGAACCAACCGTCTGGGAAAATTAAATCAAGGTAAGTGGATTATTTGCAAAGCCTCGGAAACATTAGTCCGCGAATGGAGTGGACAATGTTTCATTTCTCTAGCTTCGTGCTTGGTTAAAACATTGCATGCATCCTTGCAAAGAGCTTTAACTTAATCGCAAACATCCAGTCGTTTTTGCCCAACTTATGTGTTCTAATAAATCCTCTTGAGTCCAGAATTCAAGCCCTATTTTTCTAGATTTGGGGAAAGTGTATAAATATGAGGTCCGTGACCACTACTGATCATTCAAGTCTAGAAGACAAACAGACAAGGAACCTGCAAAGAAGTAATTAGCTGTACCAAGACTCGATCATCAAATCTTCAAAATGGCAACAACGGTAAGTAAAAACTGAGTTTTAACAATTCTACTACTATGACAGCCACGAACGATCAAAAAATTGGTATCGAAACCTTTACTGATATCAACAAATTGATTTAGATTAATACCTTCAATACCTTTTTTTGTGTTTAGTTTTTTATAAACAATCTAATGTGTAATCTGCAATTTTGATTTTTGTTTTTCAAAGTGAATAAATTGATGTTTGGTTAACAAAATTACGTTGGAAGCTGTCTTGTAGATGAGAAAGCGGTCATTCTTTTTATTTATTCCATGGATAAATTAAATCTAATTTATAGAATAATTGTTGCTTCCTATTGTACTTTGTGTAGATGAAGCTGGTCATCTCACTGTGCGTGGTCGCCATATCGTGCCTTGCCGTCTCAGATGCTTTCCGTAAGTACTAAGAATAATAGCTTATGCTAAACGTCAGTCATAAGAACAAGAAAAAATAGGTCAACGTATTCCATACGCTAAGGCAGGATAAAAATGTGTACAAATGACGGTGTAATGAGTGTGTAAATATCTTGTAATTTCGCTGTGGACATTTATTAAAACTATGTAAATAACTATTTGCACAGCTTGCGTTTAGTTGTTGTAGCAGCGCTCTGATCAGTATGCTGTAAGAGCACTAAATATGAAGAAGAAAAAAAATTATTTGTATTATTATGATTAGTATATATTATTGTTACTCTTGCTATTATTATGTTATAATTATTATTATTATATCAGTATCACTACTATTATTACTACTATTAGTAGTAATAGTAGTATCATTATTAACATTGTTAATTATAATATTATAAACATCATAATCTATATATCTATCTATTTTTCAGTGATGAGCGTCAACGATCACCTGATTAAATCCTGCTCCGGTTTCGCGGAGAAGAAGCGCGGCGAGGGCTACCGTTGCAACTCCGAGGTCATTGACCACGTCCACGACTACGCCGAGCAGTTCGACATCGCCGGCTACGACGGTGACCTGGTCGAGAACTACCTCGACATGGCCAATGGTGGCGGTATGTGCTACATGGAAGGTGCTGCTCTCCGCGTCGTGAAGGGTGAATGCGCAGCCATGGAGCTTGCCTGCAATGACGTTGAACCCAAGGTCATCGATTTCTGTTCCAGTGAGTGATTTTTATTTTCATACTTTATCACGCTAAAAATAAAAATTGAGGAGGCCCGCAGAACCAAGCAGGTTGACTAGTCGTCCGCTGATGACTGTTTTATCATGATGACGAACAGTCAACCTGTTTGGAACGTCAAGCATCGATCTCTCTTTGCATTCATAATCTGGTTCACCAATCCTTTTCAGGACTCCTCCCATGAAAGAATACTTGACTTAATTTTACTACCTCTATCCATACACTACCATATGCAAGTGCAGCTAATGTTCCCGTACGTCACAAACGGCATTTAAGAATTAAGTACACGTATATATCTCATGATTGAATTAGTTTAGTAAGCCTACTAGAGTTCTTATCAGACCAAATATAAAAAGAAAAGACACGTTTGGTGTTAATGTTCAGAACTCTACAATAACGCACGGGACACCAAATTACCACATATCTTGGACTTGCCCATAACCTTAATTCATTTTGTAATCGCCGCTATTTTCTTCTCCCTTCTCGCATTAAACAGAGCTCAAGAAGGCCCAAGCAGCCGCCACCACCGCTACCCCAACCACCACCGATACCCCCACCGAGGCACCAGAGAAGCCAGAGGTCGAGGTCCCCACCGTCGGCGGACGCGCTCACGCCTTCCAGTAAATTAACGCTTTCGACGACGAATTCATTCATGCCTTCGTCGAGTCATACTGTATCATATCACCATGGCGACGATAGAAAGAGATTAATAACGTTACCATGCAAGGAAGCTGCACTTTTAATAGTTGGGGTCCAATTTTATTTCAATCATTTCGTTTACAGCAATGTCCTCTAAATGATATAGATCTTTGATTTTGAATTTTGTAAGCAGTTTAAAATCGGATAACAAGATTTTATTCCTTACCCTTGATACTATCATCTGCAATATGCAGTTGGTTGTTTAAAAAGATTTTTGTTTGTATATTTTGTTATGTTCTTCACTGTAATTGGCATTAAAATGATGATAATATCACTATGAAAACAGATGATTCAAATTGATGTATGATTTAATATAGTTATCTAATCGGGTAATTCATTATAGTTTGAATATAGCTGCACCGGTTTCCGTTATGAAAATGAAACAGAGAGGGTTGGGGAGAGAGGGGGGATAACGTGAGAGAGAGGGATAAAGAAAGAGCACAAGAGAAAGAGAGAGACAGAGAGAGAGAGAGAGAGAGAGAGAGAGCGAGGAGAGAGAGAGAGAGAGAGAGAGAGCGAGAGGGGGACGGGGGAAAGGGGAACAGGAGAGGAGACGTTCAAACAAGAAAAAGATGGGCAAAATGATTTGTGTAACAATGGGATATAGGAAATTAAGGAGAAAGGTGAGTGAAAATCATAAGATTGTATTAGGAACAAATAAATGAGACAATAATAAAATCAAGCAAGAGTGAATAACTAATAAATTAGATTAAAAACCGATCATGAAAACAAAAACTTAAAACAAAAGGATTCGGAGGAGATTACGGAAACATTGGTCTGTATCCTCTATCGCTCTCACTCTCGTTCTCCCCTCCCTCCCCTCTCTCTCTCTCTCTCTCTCTCTCTCTCTCTCTCTCTCTCTCTATCTATCTCTCTCTCTTTCTCCCTCTCTCTCTCTTAGTGACAAACAAACTTAGTTATTGTTAATCGCAATTTGTTCCATCTGAAAATATTTCCGTGTGGTTTGATCACTGAGTACGGCACAGCCAATTTAAAAGTCTAAGAGTAAGAGTCATTTTAAAAAGCATAATGATTTTCTTGAAATAAAATAACATCATATATTTTCTCCGATTATCTTTAATTATTAGTAAATAACAGAGGAACAGAATGTGTTATGGATACCAAAAAAAAACATATACAAGTACGAAATGATTTTGCTTGAAATTTAGTCGAATGAAATTTGTTTGCGATATTTCAGACTGAATGTATGTACAATATTAATATACTAAGCGCAGTAAAAAAAAATATATTAAAACAAGATGTAAGCCGTTGACGTTGAGCCAAATTCTAGAAACAAGTTTGAACCATTGTAAACCTCATAAGTTTACGTCAATCTAATCACTCATCGCCGTCAGTCTGGCATACAGCCTGAAAGAGGAGGTTGATTTTCTAAAAAAGTAGACAGATAACATGTAACCTTTTAAGATTATTTTTATGTTAGTGTGGAAGAGTATTATAGAAAAGGGGCCCCGACAAAGGATGGCTCGTTCCCACACAGATCCCTTCAATAGCGATCACTTGATTTTTAAGCCCGTACGAATTGAGGGGGCTGCAGCGACGTGGGCACTGGAGGACGTGGGATTTTTAGGCGTTTACGGTTTAATGCAAGGTTTTTTTAATCGATCAATGAATGAATTCTTGACAATAAACTATTTTTACCCCCGTTGTTTGTGACTAAAATATTATTTTCATATGTTAGCAAATGGTTTCAACGAAAGAGGAACGAAACAGGTGCACAATATCCCATTTAAAAGTTAATAGTAGAATAATGTGCAATGGCATAGCATGGGTTCGCCATAGAAGGGGTTCCGGTATCGGGGGTGGGGGGGGGGGGGCACTAGGTGAATAAAATACGAAAAAACAAGAGTTTTGTATTATCATATAGATGAATATCTGATAGAGAACGGAACAAAGTCAAGGAAGATGAGGGTAGGGAGGAAGAGGCTTGTTGGCAACAATACAAACGGGAAAACTTAAAATAAGAACAAGTTTAATAGACTTAGTGGAAAGAGATAGAGAAAGGATGAAAAGAATGATTGTGAAGACACAGACAGAGAGAGAGAGAGAGAAAGAGAGGGGAAATGTATTGTATACACACAGAGAGCGAGAGATAGAGAGAGAGGGGGAGATAGAGAGAGAGGGGGAGAGGGAGGGAGATAGACAGACAGACAGACAGAGAAAGAGAGACACAGAGTGAGGAAGAGAGAGAGAGACACACACACACACACACATAGAGAGCGAGAGATAGAGAGAGATAGAGGGGGTAGAGAGACAGGGAGAGGAAGGGAGGGAGATAGACAGACAGACAGACAGAGAAATAGAGACACAGAGTGAGGAAGAGAGAGAGACACACACACACATAGAGAGGGAGAAAAAACGGAGGTATTCAAAATGAGATTACAATATGAAAGGCGTAATATGCCTATACAATATATGATATAGGGGCCTCTATAATGACGTACTTGTATGGCTTTAGTTTTTAGTTAAAGTTTTTATTTGTAGTGATAATCTTTAAAGAAAATCCATTGAACATTGTTGAATATATTGACCCGTCAGCCCACTTGAAGGAACAATGGTGCTTTTCAAATATTTATGAATCGCTCAAGAAATATTTGGCCTTGGAATGATCCGCACTGCATCTAAATGAAACAATACATGTTGGCATTGGTTTAGGCATTTTTCATTCTTACTAATCCATCATTCAAATTTTGTTTCATTGTTTGCCATTTTAACATATATTATGTTCAGAATTTATTCACATTTTTTAATTCTGGGAAAGACTATAAATATGGGATTTCTTACCACAGTTGACAGTAAGCATCCAGACGCGAACAACCTGTACTTGAAATTCATCTGTATATTAATACAAAACTCTGGTAAAATATTCGTCATGGCCAAATCGGTATGTATTACTCAATTATTTCATTATTCAACCTATACCTTTGTTTAGGTAAAAATGTTCGCTCTCTTAGTTTGATTATGTTCTCAATTCTTTATGTTCACCATATGTTGCATTATTGATGTCGTGTTTGATTGTCTTGATTAATTGCTTTGCAATTTTCTTGTTATTGCGTCGACTGGGACTAATATTTACCTCTTCTTATGTTTATATTTTTTTTACCAAGAATACAATACATTGTAACATTTACATCACCGGTCTTGTGTACAAATATATATTAATAAAAACATTTTTGAATGAAGAAATAGAGGATCAAAAAACAAACTGATGGCTACTTTAATATCTCAATGACACGGCTCATTTATTGTGTGTATCTTTCGGAAGGCCGTTCCTGTTTTTTAAACGGAGAAGTTTTCTACTTGAATACATACATGTATTTTAAAGCTAATCTTGAATTAGTTTGGCACTAACGTATTTACCTTTGAGTCCGAGTTTCAATTAAAAGTCTGTTTTTGACTGCAAAAAATATGCATGCCAAATATTTTTCGAAAATCTTATCAAACATATTTATAACAAATTGTACAGAAATAGCAGCCGTCATTATTTGCTTATTGAAGATAAATGAACATGTAGATATCGATACATGTCTGATGAGAAGGGTGTATTGTTCTTTTAATGTTACGAGATATGTATGAAACAATTCCTATTTCTATATCTCCCTGTTAGTTGAACCTCACCATCGCATTATGCCTGTTTGCTGTCACCTACGTCAGTATGGTCAGTGTTTCAGAAGCTGCTCCTCGTAAGTTGAAGGGGGAAAAATGGATAACAATGAGTAATTATGCAGTATGGTTAATATCGTGATTAATTCACACGACATTCCCCCGCCCTCGCCAAAATAATGTAGTTGTGAATATCATTATTAATACTACCGCCTCATGTTGTTTATTTCTATGTATAAGACATATTTAGTTTCGTCGAATGAGGAGGCTTATTTGTCAGATATTAATCAATATCACAACAATTAAGGAGAGATTAAATATTTATTTATTCCAATTTTTCCTATTTCGACCCCTGTCATCGAAGAAAAATAATACAAAAGAGTAAATAAACAGAAAAAACGGTGGTAGACCTATTCTTTTACAATGATGATTAATTACTATTACTATTATTATTATTATTATTACAAGAAGTTTAGATACAAGTATTGAAAGGGAATGCTGATGAGGCTTCATAGGGGGATTCTTGTTATTATCATCATTATTTTCATTCTGTTTTTTGTTGTTGCAGTAATGAGCATTAACGACCACCTCCTCAAGAATTGCCTGGGCTATTTTGCCGAGATGCGCGAAGAAGGGACCACCGTGTGTGACTCGGAGATCATTGACCAGGTCCACGACCACGCGGAAGAGCTCAACTTTCCCGGATACGACGGCGACCTGGTGGAGGACTTTCTCGATTTGGCCAATGATGGCGGGCTCTGCTACCTCGAAGGTTCAACGATTAATGTAGTGAAGGGTGACTGCGCTGCCATGGGGCTTGTCTGCCAAGCCTTCGAACCCAAAGTCGTCGACCGTTGCGGACGTGAGTACTTGCATACTTTAAGATGATTTTTCCCCTTTGTTTTGTCTTTGGGCTGTTGAAATGCACCGGAATATATATAGAGAGATAGATAGAGAAAGAGAGAGAGAGAGAGAGAGAGAGAGAGAGAGAGAGAGGGAGGGGGGGGGGGGGAGAGAGAGAGAGAGAGAGAGAGAGGGGGGGGGTAAGGGAGTGACGCATACAAACCAAGACTCGTGTGCACACAAGTTCAAAATGAAAAGGCGAGTGGAGGGGGGTGGGGAAAGAAAGATTTAGAAAAGGGTTTGAATAGATAATGAGAAAATGAAAGAGAGAAAGCGGGGAGAGAGGTTAAGTAGAGGTAGAGAATGGGAAAGCGAAAGGGTAAGATGAGGGACTGAGGGACCGAGAGAAGAAAACAAATAATAACTGCATAAATATTTATGAAATCCCGCTGTCCATCTAGAATACTGCAAAAGTACCAATTGAACATAACAATTTTGTTTTAAAACTAAAAATATATTCTCATCCATTCCCAATTTTGCTTGCAGCGCTAAGGAAGCAGGCTAG